GCACAGGGAGAGGGGAGAGAGAGAGAGAGAGAGAGAGAGAGAGAGAGAGAGAGTGAGAGAGAGAGTAACTGGGGGTGGGTAGGAAGAAAGGGGAAGAGGATGCAGGGGGTGCAGTGAGGGGTAGGCAGGTGGATGGACGGCAGATAGAAGAATGGGAGAGAGGAGGGCTGCATGGATGGAGAGAGGAGGAAAAAGGCAAAAAGAGGATGGATGGATGCATAGATGAACAGGAAAGGTGCAAACAGTGAAAACTGGGGGCTGATTGGTTCGAAGTAAAGAGAGCTTGGAAGGCAGCTTCACGGGTTTGGGGCCCCTCGAAAAGAACCCCGGGTTACTAAGTCATTAACACCAAGGAGTGCAGTCTGGGGCTGACGGGCCCCGGTGCTCCAGTGTGACCCCGACGCCCCATTCCTCTGCAGGTTTAGCCCCCATGGTGAGTGACACAGACAAGAAACCGTTCACTGCCATCCTGTATGGCAACGGGCCTGGCTACAAGGTGGTGGGCGGTGAGCGAGAGAACGTCTCCATGGTGGACTACGGTGAGACGGCCCGGCCAGGGATGGCAGGGTGGGCTTGGGGTCATGATCAGGCGTCCTGGAGTGGGCCCTGGGTTCCTGGAATTGTCCGGGAGTCAGAATCTCTTTTTGAACGTATTACTATAATTGAGCCGCTCTGTGACCATAGGCACCCAAAGGTTTAAATGGGGCCGTGAGCTTAGCACAGTGCTTGGCAGGAGTACTGGGTGTGTCCCACTGTCATTTTTTAGGTTATATAATATTCTGATCTGTAAGTTTTCCAGTCCATCTAGTTCCATATTGCTGAATATTCGTTTGCATTTGACACCACAGTGGCCCCTGGGCATCTGGCAGTAAGAGGCTCCAGCTAACTCTTTTCTGCTTATTCACACAGCCTGTATGGGGTTCATTTTTTTCTTCGAGAGTTAAGGGAATTGACTTCTGTGTCGAGAACAGACTTAGGTTCAAACCCTGTGGCCTTGGGTAAAATGCCTCCCTCAGCTTCCTCTTCTGTAAAGTGGGGACATTTGAGCCATCCTGGATGGGGACGGGAGATGCCTCTTATGCACACAGGGCCCCAGCAGGCTCTCAGCAAGCCTTTCTCCTGACCCACAGCTCACAACAACTACCAGGCCCAGTCCGCTGTGCCCCTGCGCCATGAGACGCACGGTGGAGAGGATGTGGCCGTCTTTGCCAAGGGCCCCATGGCGCACCTGCTGCACGGCGTCCACGAGCAGAACTATATCCCCCATGTGATGGCCTACGCCGCCTGCATCGGGGCCAACCTCGACCACTGTACCCAGGCCGGCTCGGCAGGCGGCCCCCTCCTGGCGCCCCTGCTGCTCCTGCTGGCGCTGGTTCCCCTGCATCTCCTGTTCTGAGGGCCTGGGGCCCAGGCACCCGGGAGCCCACGACAGATGGCCACACTCTCTCTCCCACTGCTGCCCACCACCGGGCAGCCTGTACTTCAAGGGTAGGGAGGCTGAGGCCTCCACAGCCACTGAAGCTGCCAGGAGAGGACCCAGGAACCAAAGTCTGCTGCCTGCCTCACTCCCTTCTGGAATCCTCCATGGGCCAGCCCGATGCCTGGCCTCCAGGCCTTGCTTCCTCCCCACTACCCTTCGGCCAACAGGGTAGGTTTGTCCTGGGCCCACAGAGCACAGACTGCAGAAATTCTCAAAACATCTTATTTTTCTAGCAGATATATTTCTCCAGATCCAAAGCCCTGCAGCATCCATGGAACATTCCAGACCTGACCCTCCATTCCTCTCTCCTTCTCCTTGGAACCCTCTATGCCCCGTGCTCAGTCCCCAAGCTGGGCCCTGCCTGCCAGGAAAAAACCACCTCTCCTCAGCCTGGGGGTTCCTTGCCCACTCCAAGGGTGCTGGGGCTCCCAGGAAGCCGCCTCCTAGGCCTGGCTGCCCCCCAGGTGGCGGGGCTGGGCAGAGTGACCTGGTGGATTGCACACTCCCCAACTCCAAACACACATGCCAGCTCCTCTCTGAAGCGACTCTCCTGTTCAGAACTGAAAAAAAAAAGGTGGTTTTTTTTTTTTTTTTTCCTTTTTGGTGTTGGTTAAAAGGGAACACAAAACATTTAAATAAAACTTTCCAAATATTTCTGAGTACGGAGCTGAGTCTTTGCGGTCAGTGAGGAAGAGACCGAAATAAGCTCATTTCTCTGGGAAGAGCTGGACTTGGGGCCCAGAGGTACAAAGCGGGTGGACAGGGCCAAGAGGACCTTCTGCTGGCCTGGGGGCTTTGCCACTCACTACCTGCATGACTCGGGGGAGGTGGCTTCGTGTCTCAGTGTCCTCGTGTGTGAAACGGGGGAGCCCACTCCTGGGTCACTGAGGATGAAAGAACAGTGGACCATGCCCTGAAGCCCCACAGCAGCACGTTTCAAGGCCAGTGCTGCCCCTCCTGCCTGGCACCCAAGAGTGCACCATCTGCCCAGACTGTTGGAGGCGCCCATGCGGTTCCTTCATTCCACACAGACCGAGTGTGTGCCGGGCACACGCTGGGTCCAAGGAATTGAGTGGCAGTCGAGACGGGGGTGCCCCACGCATCTTCTGCTCGCATCGCGGCAGTGATCTCTCCAACCGCATTCTTCACACATGGGCACTGAACTCAGAGCCGCACCTGATGTTAGGGGTGCGCAGAGATCCCCCACTTGGCTCCGCTCAGCCCATTTGAGCGATGTGCCCTCTACTGCTCTTGACCTTAACAACGAACAGCAGTCATTTCTAACATTCATTTCATTTGGGCCTTAGTAGGAAGTGGGTCCCCTTCATCCAAACTGATAAATAAATGAGACACAAAGAATGTGGGCGGTGATAGGATTGTAAAGGTGCCCCAAATTGCGCAGTACAGATGTGAATCCAGATTTGTCCCATTCCAAAGCTCTTGTACTTAACGGCATCCTTTATTTATTTATAACACATTTCCAAATTCCTGCCTGCTAAGACCAAGCCAATACTAATGACTCACTGTATACACTAGTTAAATATGAACCAAGACAAGCAGCTATCAGTCTGAAGTGGACACCTTTCAGGACTGAAAGTGCAAATTGAGCAGATTTCCGGCTGAGCTTCCTGGTAATCCTGGCAAAAAGGGAAATACAGTCAATCGAATGCTGAGATGAAAACAATGAAACCACAGGACCTGGGGTGTAGCTCAGTGGTAGAGCACTTGCTTAGGATATGCAAGGCCAGCAGCACTACAAAACAAAATAAAACAAAACAAAACCACATGAATACATTCTCATCAAGACCAAAACATCTCATCTCAAACTGTACCATTTTTGCCATATCTCTGTCCTATTATTTCCTAAACAGCTCTTTAAACTCCCACGTAAGCAGGTGGTTTTTAAAAGCTCACCAGGTCTGCCTGGAATCAACCTACATGTCTCAGGGATGTGTAAACCAGACTTTGTCTCTTGGGCTGGGCCTCCCCAAAGGCAGACACTAGACAATGGTTGGACACAGGTAGCTTGTGAGAGGAACCCAGAAAGCCCCAGTTGGGGAATTTGGAAGTAGAGTCTGGAAAGGGAACGAAGCTAAGGATAGGCAAGTTATTCAGCAGCTCACCATCATGGGCAGAAGAGTTCAATCCCCCTGCACCCTGGGGAATGTAGCTTGTGAGAGGAACCCAGAAAGCCCCAGTTGGGGAATTTGGAAGTAGAGTCTGGAAAGGGAACGAAGCTAAGGATAGGCAAGTTATTCAGCAGCTCACCATCATGGGCAGAAGAGTTCAATCCCCCTGCAGGCCCTGGGGAACAGGGTAGGAGACCCCACTGCCGAGAAGTTATGCCCCACCATGACCCAGGGTGACTACGTACTCTCCAACTCTCCTGCCTCACCGGTGAAGGGTTGCTCCGGGGAGAACTAACCCTTAATCTGCCTTGAACTGTTCCTCAAATGCTTGGATGACAAAACCAGCAGCATCAGTTAAACCCTGGAACCCCTGGTGGGCTGGGAAGCACAGAATGAGTGTGAGAGCTGGGGTCCACCCTTGGGCTCTATCGCTCTGGGCAAGGTCTTCAACTTCACGGATGTCCCCTGCCCAGCACAGTGTCCAGCACATCGTGAGCACTGAGGGCCCCTTGGTGCCCTGGGAATGAGGAGCTCTTCACAAAGTGAGATGTGACGGCTCCGTCAAGAACCAGACGCCGATGACACTCAGGTGCCCTCAGCGCCAGAGCCTCCCTACATATTCTGTCACTCAAGCTGAGTCCTGGATTCCACACTCACGTGTTGGTGGGTCTTGAGCATCAACAGGATTGGATGGGAGGGTGCTGACCACGTCAATGGATTACCCTATTGATGAGTTCAGAGCCGCATGGGCTACTAGGAGGTAGGATATGACTTTTTTTGGGCTTTTTCTCACTCTTTCTGTTTCCTGGTCATAATGAACTGAGCAACTTTGCTCCATCACACCCTGCCACTGTGCTGTTTTTGTCTTGGATCCAGCCAACCATGAACTGCAACCTCTGAAACCATGAGGCAAAATAAACCTCTCTTCCTTTAAATTGCAGATGTCGGGAATTTTGTCATAGCCTTGGAAAGGTGACTGGTACAACCCTCCAGCCACTCGTCACCCTGTATGTCAACCATCATGGGTTCTGAGTCCTAATCAGAGCCAGAGGTCCAAACTCTGCCTCACAGCACCCATGGCCATGGCATCAACGCTGTGGGTGGTATAAAGCACCCATGACACAGAGGTTCCTGCCTCTCGGGTGCTTAAGTCAGGGGAAAAGAACAAGGATGTGCCAGCAAATCCTTCTCTATTCACTGAGACTGTCTTGGCTCCTGCTAGAGATAAATCCAGGACCTCTGGAATTTGATTCAGTAAGAATTTGTTTCTATCTCAAACATTAGGTGGTGGCTGGCCATGGACAGGAGGCCGGGACCCTGGCTGGGATCCCTGGGCTGGGACCCAGGCTCTTTCTGCCTTGTGGCTCTACTACCTCCTCTAAATGCTGGATGTCCTTTCTGCCTGGCCAGTGTCTCTTTGGGGATAGGCAGTAGACCTGCTTCTTAACCACTTCTTCCTGGACTAACACAGCTTCTGCTCAGAGTCCATTGAAAACTAGTTATGTGAGCTGGGCATGATGGCACACAACCATAATCCCAGTACCCAAGAGACTGAGGCAGAATTACAAATTTGAGGCCAGCTGGGCTATATAGCATGTTCAAGGCCTGCCTGGACTACGTAGTGAGACTGCCCCCCTGCAAAAAAAAAAAAAAAAAAAAAAAAAAAAAAAGGAGGAACATGCAAAGGAGTCTGGGAAATGTAGTTTGAGGCTGCAGCTGCTTTCACACTAACAACATGAAATTCTAGCCCCTCCATGGGGGTCACCCTGTGCATTGCAGGAAGTTGGGCCCGTCCCTAGCTTCTACTCACTAGATCTCTGGGAGACAAAATCACCCTGTGCACCTACTGAGAACTTTTGCTGTCCAGTAAGGGAAGGGTAGACAGCTTGGGTGACAGCTTTGTGATGCTCAAGTCACCCTCCAACTCCCACACTCCCCAGACGTTCTGGCACCTCCGTGTTTTAAAACATCAGAGACTTCATGGGAGATCCAGATTTCTGAAGTTTTGGAGAACTGGGAGATCTCGCTGGCAGCGGGTCCCACCTTCCTGCAGGCTGTCCACCAGCTGGAGCTGAGAGGTGGCTGCCCATCGAGGGCACAGCTCCCCTGCTCGCCGCTTCCCCCGTGTCCTGACACTACATCCTTCACACAGTGACCTGCCTGGTTCTGGGAAAGGCTGAGTTCGGGGCTCCTGTGCTGGTGGCCTGGGGGACAGAACGGACAACAAGCCCCAGACTCAGTCCTCCAGCTTGTCTCGGCGGGGACCTTCCTCATGAGGAATCACGGAGCTGTGAGGATAGGAAGGGGTTTCCTAACCAGCTGAGGGCCCAAGATGAGTGGGAACTGGGGGGAGTCGGAGGAGGTGATGAGTGAGCTGGGACTTAACAGGGATGTGAATTTGGGGAACCAGATACAGAGGGGAATTCAGGAGGAAGCACTGTGGAGACAGATGAGGCTGAGGCAGGAGGATGGTAGTTTGGGGCGGCCTGGGCAACTTAGCCAGGCCCCATCTCAAAATAAAAAGTGTTCAAAAAAGGCCCAGTGGTAAGGGCCCTGGGTTGGACCCTAGCATCAAAGATAGATATAGATTAGATATAGAGATAGAGATACAGATAGAGATGGCCCTGAGTATCCCAGCTCTTGTTTGTCAAGAAAAAAGCCAGGCTGGAGCATGAATGGACAGATCATCAGCAAACCAAATGCCCTGAGATCCTGAGCAGGAAGAGTCAGATACCTACCTACTGGATGCCGCACACCCTACTAAGTTCCCCTGACATGGCCCCAAAGTGTCACCTTGAGAACACGCTTTACTCCTCTCCTCGGGCCTCCTGTGAAGTGGACAGATGGGAAAACTGATGCTTGGTAGGGAGGGCATGGTAACCTGCTCCAGGCCCCATGGCCTGAAGGCAACCACTGGAAAGGGACCCAGGGCAGCCTCCCTCACAACCCCTGCTCTCCTCTTGCCTCTGAGGAGCTAATCTGTCCACAGAAAACAAGCCCAGCCCCATCTGCCACAGACCCATGGGCTCCGAGGAACCCCAAGAGAGCAGCAATGCATTTATAATTATCTCAGTAGCTAAACTGAAGACCTCCCACCGTGATCCCCCCACCCGGCTGGGCCAGCAGGGAGATTAAGTTCTCAGAAGAGGATTTGGGCTCCAAGATCCTGGGTGGCTCCTCCTGGTCTCCCTGTGATGCTGCTCAGTCCTGGTCCCAGCCGTTTCCTGGCTCCTCATGGTCTGTGTGACCCTCAGGGTGGGGCGGCGCGTGGGCTACCTGCCAGCCAAAGGGAGGTTGGTCTGTGCCACCTCCTTCCTGTCTGTTGGAAGCCTCAGGGAGTTAGGAGGTTGAGTGCAGTGACAGCTATGGACATGACAACAGAGGACATTTCCATGGCGTCTTCTGGGCCCTGGGCATTGTTACTAAGTGCCCACCATGCACATTATCAAACATCTGGTAATTTATTGGAAGTCACACCACTAACCAAGGCCA